ATACTGTCTCAGTGTCAATTATATCAGCAGAGACTTCGAGCAATTACAATCAATTGAGGAGTGTGCAACAGAAATTCCCTGCCTACTTGCAGACCATTGCTGTTCAAGTTCACATACGTCTCAACTTGAGAAAATCTAACAAGCAATTCTGCAGCTAAGACGTATTTTTAAAAAATCTTCTACTCCAAAGTGGTCTCATCTGAAATTAAAAATACATTTGAGATTCCTGAATGGCAAGATTCCCATGGCAGTAACCATCTGGAATTCTCAAAATATTACCCCCATGACCTCCACTTAAATCCCCAGATGTATGATGCATCACAGCAGCAGCAGAATATCAACAGATACCATTTTGAAATAAACATTAAAACAGAGGTAAAAGGGTCACCTCCAGCACTAAAATAAAGACTTAGATTTAGACAGCAATTTCCATGACCTCCGGTCATCCCCAAAAACACTCCACATCAGTCAAGTGCTTTTGAAGAGCCATCATTTTTGCAGTAGAATACATGTTAAAACCATGATTATCTATTTTAATAATATTAGTCATCTAAGTGATATAGCCCGAGACAACAGGAAGAGCTTCCATGTTCTTCAATTCTATTACCTCTACTGGAGAGTGCACATGTCCTCAGCTTCATCTTTCATCTGAAAGATAGTACCTCCAACACTGCAACTCCCCTTCCAGGAGATTGTGCAATAAAATCTGAGAAGATAGGCTGCTACCCTTGACTGATGCTGGACATTGTTCAGTGAGTAACTCATACAGACTCGGCTTGTCTTGGTCTTGGATTCCGACTCCAAATGGCCAAGGGTGACATTGAGATCGAAACATTTAACAAAATGCCAGGTGACACTCAGTTTAACTGCTTGCAGACACGCTGTTCAAGTTCATACATGAACAACGGAAACTTAGGCAGTAGAGGGTAGCTGGTGACTAGTACTGAAGCAAGTAATAAGGTAATACCTTAAAGGGCAGCTAAATCATCACAATTTTTTTAAAAAAAGTGCTCAAGCATCTGATATATCTACATAAGATCTAAAGTAATGAGATAATGGGAACTGAGTTTTTCATTACCAGAGAAACTGGGGTTAAGTTCCTAATTTTCTTCCAACTAAGATCCAAGACACTTTCTGCAGGAATTCTTCAGGATTTTTCTTTATATCCAGAAGTGCTCTTACACTACTCATTTTTGACCTCCATCCCCAATCACCAAATCACTATAGTTTTCCTAAAAAAAATTAACCACCAGTAAATCATTGGTCTTTTCAAATTGATTAATTGACATGCAAAGCCCATTAAGAGAAATGCCTCAGGATTGTGTCCTAGGCCTAACAGTCTTGAGGTGCTTCATTAATGACCAACCCTTCATCATTTGATCAGGAGCAAGGATGTTTGCACAATATTCACAACTCCTCAGTTACTGAAGCAGTCCATACCCAAACAGAGCAAGAGGAGACAAGAGAGAGGTCTGGGCTGACGAGTGACAAGTAACATTCACAACTGTCAGGCAATAACCATCTTCAACCAGAGAGATCTAACCATTGCCCTTGACATATCCATCATCGAATACCCCAGTAACAACAATCTGGAGCTTACTAGTGACCAGAAACTGAAATGGACTTGTCAGATAAATAATATAACTACAACGGCAGGTCAGAGGTCAGGAATCTTTCAAGTAAGTCACCTCCTGACTGCCCAAAGGCTAACCACCATCCACATGGTAGAAGTCAACAGTTCTTCCCTGCCTACTGGATGACAACAGTTCTAACAACACCCAGGCTGCTTAAACAGCATCTTCCAAGCCCATGACCACTTCCATCTAGAAGGACAAGGACCACAATACATGGGAACACCAAGTTCCCATCCAAGCCACTCACCATCCTGACATACAAAAATCAACTGTTTGTTGGTGTCATTGGGTCAAAACCATCAAACTTCTTCCCTCGTGGCATTGCGAGTCTATTTCCACCAAGTGGACTGCAGTGGTTGAAGAAAACATCTATCAACCACTTGAGGGAACAACTCTGAATGGGCAATAAATTCTGGCCCAGCCAGCAGCATCCACATCCATGAATAAAATAACTAGTACACACCTCAATGATTCATATAGAACTACTCAACTGGCAACTGGTATGCATATCACACATTTAGCATTTGAAATACCCCAAGGCATTATAGGATATTTGGACAAACTTTATGAATAGGGGGCACAGTGGCTCACCAGTTAGCACTGCTGCCTCACAATACCAGGGACCTGGGTTTAATTCCAGACTGGGTGACCATGTGGAGTTTGCATACTGTCCCCACTTCTGCATGGGATTCCTCTGAATGCTCCGGTTTCCTCTTAAGAGTCCAAAAGATGTGCAGGTTAAATGGATCGGCCATGGTAAAATGCAAGATAACAGGATAGGGGCCAGGTGGGATGCTCTTTGGATGGTCAGTGCAGACTTGATGCCCTGAATGACCTTTGTCTGCACTGTAGGGATTACATGATTCCATTTGAGGAGGAGGAAGTACCAAGGGAGGTGAGTAAAAACCTGAGTGAAAGAGGGACGTACTGGGAAGAGAATGGTCAGCTACATCACTCAGTGAGTTACAGTAATTACGATGCCAATGTTTACTGTGCACACAACTAACCTTATCCTAAAATACAAATGAATCTCTTCTAGTGACCAAGGCTATAATATGTCCAGCTTCAATATATGTACTAGACTCACCAAATCTGAGAAGTGAAAGACGGTTTAAAACATTTTCAGAAAATTGTGCTCTGAAACAGAACATGCATGTGCTATCAACAAGCATAACCTAATTGGCACCAAACAAGAAGTCAACAGATGCCAAGTTCACAGAGTTGCCTTTAGGAGATCATACCAACTATGATGCCTTAATTTTTTTCCTGGAGGCAGTCACTGAGGAATGTGATATGGCTGTGAAAATGAGTTTTAACAATTACCTGATACCTTAATCTCCTTTAACATGATAGCATCAAGTCTTAGCTAAAGATGCTCACTGATAGCCAACAAATTTCAATAGTATAGTGCCTTTAATAGAGCAAAACATTTCAAGCATCTTCAAAGGGGTACCTGAAAGCCACATACATGGAGGAAGCAGATAGGGAAGGAAAACCAAAAGAACTGCGGATGCTGTAAATCAGGAACAAAAACAAAGTTGCTGGAAAAGCTCAGCAGGTCTGGCAGCATCTGTGGAGGAGAAAACAGAGTTCACATTTCGGGTACGATGACCTTTCCTCAGAACCCCTTCCTCAGATAGAGAAGGAGATTGATATTGGAAATGAGGCTTGAATTGGAAGATTGTAGAGCTCACAAAGTCTGTGGGGCAGGAAATAGCTAGTATATTTTTTGGGTCTGGAGGCACATCCAGGTAGTGAAGGGATATGAAGACAAAGGCTAGAAATTTTAAATGAAGGTGCTTCTAAAGGTTGGAGCCAATGCAGATAAGCACAGAGATGATGGGCTCAAATCTAGAATGCACGTCACAGAGCTTCAGTTAAGCACACTTTAGCACAGAGTAGATTGGAGGTTAGTCAGGAGATCATTTAAGCAAGTGCATGATCAATCAGAAATTTGAAATTTTCCTCAAGATGTAAAGGGTCTGGAACACGAGGGTATTTCACAATTGAAACCATTGCCTGAGTAACAGCAATGGCAGCCATAGTAAAAAAAAAAGTCGAGTGTTTGACAGTGCGAATAATTCAAACATTTCTCTTCAACAGGCAACAGCTGCAGCTCTTTTTTAAAAAATGTAATTTCTACCCCAATTGCCAGCTGTCATCCAGCAATTTTCGCAAAATTACATTGAAAGCCCATTAATTGCAGTAGTGTGGAGTTAGCAGTTGAAAAGTCAGTCCTCTACCGTGTATTGGAACTCTTCATTAGCACTTTAAAAACTGCAAAAATTGAAGTGAACTTTCAAACCTTCTACTGTTCACTTTCAAAAACCGAACAAATTGGACATACTTGCATACCTCCTTTGTGCACCCCCAACCTACACCACACCCACTGTTTGCAGGTTCACCATCATTGTTCTATTTTACAAGACAAGGAAGTAACCAAGTACTAAATTTTAAGAATATGAAACTCCAAAAAAATTGAAAGGCCACCACCCAAAAAGATACAAGGCTACAGATCAAAAACAACTGATCAATCTCTGGCTGTACAGTTTACTATATTAAGTCAAGACAGCTATAACCTGTGGAGCCTCACCCCATTTAAAAAATACATTTCGCCTCTATTGTTAGAAGGATGATTCAATAAAAAAAATGCTGTGCATATCTGGATCTTTTCATTACACTATCATCGGATAACCTGCATTTCCTTTGCGCTGTCAATGTAAAGCATACAATGTGGCTATAAAAATAGCCAAGAAAAGCTCCAAGGAGCAAAATCAGTTTGTAAGCAAGATAAAAGTAGTTCAAGTAAGTGAATAATGTGAAATTGAGGAGATTTAGTAGAATGATTTCACTGTAATTTTGGAAGTTCATCTGGAGGGTGGCAGTACATGGGACTTGCAAATATTTCCCCAACCTCAAGTAGTTGAGGCAGCGATTGTTGGTCCTAGGAACTAACACAGCTCTCTCTACAGATAAAAAAAGGAAACTACTGCATACGCTCACAATCAAATAGAAACAAAATGCTGGAGAAACTCAGTAAAACATTTCAAATTTGATATGACACTTCTTCACAACTTTAGTTTGGAAGTAAAACATTAACTCTGGTGCTCTGTTCACAAATGCTGCCAGACCTGCTGAGTTGCCCCAGCTCTATTTTTTCCACTTTGAAAGTAGTTTGGGAATTCTAACCCTTTAATACAGTCACCTGAAGTCACAAGCCAAATTTGCAGTCTTACTTAAAAAGTGACTCAATCAAAATTCACTAGAAGCTGACAGAGCCGATGATGGCATTAAAATGGACAAGAACCAAAAGCCAATCTCCAGGGCAATGAACACTCCATGTACCAAGCTTGGTAAATCGCCTACCTTTGCTGCACATTGGCTGCATCACTGAAGCAGGTATCAAACACAATACCCCTGCAAAATGTCAATAAGAGTGCAAGCCCAGTCTTGCAGGCTGGTTGCTCTCAGATGGTACACAAGGAAAAAGTTAATTGACAGAATTCCACACTCCTCAAAAATCAAAGCTGCAGCCTCGCACGCAACTTAATCTACCAAAAGCTAAATCACAGACTGGGTCAGACTCCACCCTTTCCACTTGGAGTGGTCAGATTTGTATGACGGGGGAGATAGGAAGCAAATAGCTTATCATTGCCGACCTGTTCTCACTACTGCAAAGGCTACTTCAATTCAACTAGCTGCAACACGCCAAGAATTAGGAATCCACTTGAAAGGCAAGTGGGAACAACAGTCTCCCAAGGCTTGGAGGGGAGGAACAGGTGGTAATGTCTTCTCCAGTAGGAACCGGACACCTTGAGGGTGGGTGAGGATTGATCGACCCCCTTGCCTCTGCTGTTTTTGGGGGGGGGGTGTTCTCGGAGCCCACGGCCCGGGTGAAAATTTCTCGGTCCCTCCCCCTCGGGCTGGGAGTTCTCGGTTTCTCCACCACCCTTCCCAGGGGAGGGAGTTTCTCGGTTACCGGGGGTGTAGGTTGTCCCTTCGGTCTCCGCTCCCGGGACTGACTGACTGACTCTCACGGGCAGGAAGGGCCTGTCAATGAAGGCGGGAGTTCCAGCCCCAGCCGGGCGGACTAACAAGACGACACAAGTTATCGCGTGCCGTTCCGGGGGTGAGGGAAGTGAAGGCTGGATGAGGTGGCCCGCCCTGTCAGTGTCTGCCCGCTCCCAGGCCGCTCACCCTGTCACGGTCAGAAAGCTGCTCCTCCGCCGCCGCCATCTTGAAGCAAACACCGTCCCCGCCTCGCAGCATCATGGGAGCTCCCGCCTGAGAGGGGGTTGGGAGGAATCCTAGCACAGGCGCGCCGCCCTACAGCCCAGAATCGGTACTGCAGGCACCAGGCTCTGACTACTGAATCAGAGATAGTAGGAACTGCAGATGCTGCAGAATCCGAGATAACAAGGTGCAGAGCTGGATGAACACAGCAGGCCAAGCAGCATCATAGGAGCAGAGAGGCTG